TCGAACCAAACGGCGACGAGGCAGATCAGGAGGAACAACACAAGGAGTTCCTCTCCAAGCTCGTGACCCGGTTGTTGTATGCGTGCAACTACCAACGGTCCGAGTTGGAGAAGCAGAACCTGGAACTACAGAACCTGCAYCAGGCTCTGCAGACACAGCAACAAGAGTTGGTGACTCTCCGCCGCATGGTGCATGATCACGACAGTGCTACACGGGCACTCAACGGCCGTGTCACGGACCTGGAGCAATCTGCACCAGATCCAGACGCAGTCGCGACCAGCAGTGCACCATCAAACCACCCGTTGGAACAACGCATGGACCACGTGGTGGCAATGCTGGGTGACCTTACCACCTTCACAGCACCAGCCACCATCAGCCAGCGGTTCGAGGAGCTGGATGCCAAGCTCGGGCAGCAACADCAGCCATCCGAGCACAGCAGCAGCTCGCCGAAKCYRTACAAGATGCCRAARTTYCAGATTGAGAGATTCGATGACTACATGCATCAGAATCCRGTAGTCTGGTGGCAAGGATTCTCGACGGAGTTGGGGATTCATCAGATCCCCAAGGACATGTACATCAGCGCTCTGTTCCTCAATGTGAAAGGAGCATGCCAGATCTGGTTGAGCCACATGGCCACAATGCACAGCGTCGACGTGGCAGAGTTGTGCAAGAAGATCACCTGGGAAGAAATGACAAAGGAATGGAAGAAGCGGTTCATCGTCGACGACGCGCCCGCACAGGCCGTCAACCGCATCTTCACAATGGCACAGGGCAGCAGTCTCACACGGGACTGGCTCACGGAATGGCAGAAGATCGTGGCGACGCCCGATCTGGAYCTACCATTCACGCATCTGCGGCGTGAGTTCTTCAACAGATCCTGTGCGGCCCTCAGCCTTGCACTTGGTGAGCGCGAACAGTACACAAGCTTTGCTGAGATCATCAACAAGGCTCGCGAGATCATCAAGACCAACAGGCCAGCTGCTCACGAGAAATCGACATGGTAGCCGACCTATGTGGAGAAGGTACGAACTGGTCCGCGACAGCAGCACTTCGCTGCAGTCCAGCAGGACGGTGGAGATAACCCAACAGCCACTTCAGCATCAAGTGACGGAGATCAGGTGGCCGCTGTCCAGCCGCGAAGCACCAACAAGTCCCGTAACAATGGGAAGGCGAAATCCGCATCGCAGGCCGGAAATGGACAGCCAGGACAGTTTCCATGGGTCAAGTTTGGCTTGACCGAGGCGGA